AAAAACAAAAAAACCCCCCCACAACTAAACAACCCCCCAGCCTTCCAAGCAAAGAAAAAATAAATCCCACCACTGATTTGTAATCAAAGCCTTTCCAGAAATGAGCAGATACAGATTCTGCTTTTATGTTTTTTTTTTTTCTTTTCTTTCTCCCCACTCCCTTGATTCCTTATTGTCTTTCCATCTCCTATCCTAAGGCAATCTTGTAACTATTTCCTATGGATTCTTTTGTATTTAAGAACTTGGAGCCTCGTGGCAAAGCTTTTCTTGTTTGGTTGTTTTTTTGGATGGTTGGTTGTGGTTTTGGTTTTTCATTTATTTTGGTTGTTTTCCAACTAATTTATGCAACTTTGTTGCAGTGAAGATAAGCAACTTCAATCGTGCCAAGCCAAGACCTGACATAATTGAAGAAGAAAAGATGTACACCTACCCTAGTCACATTACCTCAGAAATTGGATTCAGGTAAGATTTCCTATGTTAATCTTGTGCTGTGTTCAGCTACAACATATAGGTAATGCTGGCTAATGTAATTGCGTTGCTTTCTGTAGACTTATATAATCTTAAATATGGCAACCAAAGCAGTGGTGGTAGTAATAGTTCTGAAGGAAACTATACACTTCGGACTGCTATTTTACATGCATAGAAGAGAAGCAGCACAACCCTGTGCTTCCTACGTAGTAGTTGCAGTTTGTTATGATACAGAAATCTTCAAACATGAGGACAGAAATGACTCAACCATTTATGCGTGGTTGCATGGATCTTTAATATAAATAACTGTGCTTAATCTGGTTTAGCTGACTTTATATGGGAGTTTGAGGAAAGGTACTGGTGTCCTCTACTGCTACTTGAAGTATGCCAGTTCTTTCAGGGAAGAAAATATATTATGGGCAGTTGATACACAAAGAAAACTTTGCAGCTTTGTTCTGTGCCAGCAGTTGGACATCAAATTCTAGCAAGTGATTTGGAATATATTTCCAATTTGGGAAGGGACTCTTAAGGTAGGTAAGGTAGGAAGAGGTAAGGAAATCCAGTGAGACAAACTATCCAACAGTGAGCTCTCAAACACTGAGACTTATTACTTGTTAGGCCTTTGTGTACCTTCTGACTGCTTTAACATCTTCCAGTTGCTGAAATGAGCTTGCTATAACTTAACAAAAAACAGTCATCAAAACTGACATGGATTTCCATATAGGAATTTATTTAGGAGTTTTCTAATACAGCATGACTTGCTTTTTACTGCCTTGTTAAAAAGTTGAAGTGCAGAGATGACTAATACTTGGCACTTCCCCTGGTGTAACAAATGCAGCGTGCACATGCTTTTATGGAACTTGGAAGTAGATGTCCAGGATACAGGAAGGATTTAGAGTTGTCTTGATTTTTTGATACAATGTCTGACTTCTATCTTGATATAAACACCATGGTGAATGCATGGTGGACCTCATTCCTTTCTCATTCAGCTTCTCCCCTGAGAAAGTCTTGAATGCCCAGGGAATGAGTCTGCAACAATGACCAACTGAGGAAAAGACTGATTATTTTTGATTAAAGAGTGCGAACTTCCTGTGAGAACTGATTGCAAAACAGTTACTTTAATTCAGCTCTATACAACTCTGCCTCTCCATCCCCTGAGAGTTAAGGTCTATTGAAAAGTGAATCCTGTCAGCCCTTCAGTTGACCCTGCTTATAGAATGTTTTTTTTAATATTATGACCTCTACAACCTAAGCTACTGACCAGGACCTCTTCTGGTGTTTTAAGTTGGTAGTGCAGATTACTGGTTACTATTGCAGGCTTTTTGTCTAGAAGACATGTTCTCTTCAATTTTTCCAGTTTAACTGGAAGCAGGTTTTTAATTGGATGTTAGCTTTTTTTCCACTCCAGCTATCCTCCTCAGCACTTTCTAATAATTGATGCTGTTAGAGTATTGTGAAAGATACCACTGTATGTAGTAGTATATAATGTATGCTACTTCAGGTTAATCAAGAAGGGTGTCTTACACATCTTACAATCCTCACTGCTGAATAAAAATACTGTGCGTGCTTAAAATAAGTATGTGGAAAAGGTGCCATGGGTTTCTCTGTTGGTACAATTTTTAGCATGTCTGGCTCACTAACTTTAAGTTTGTTAAACAGCAAGAGCCCTCATACTACTTAAGCTTTTCTGTAACTGTCTAGCTGGAGATATGTAACTTTATTATGAATCCATGGCATGAAGCTTAACCAAGCTTTTTCTTTCTGCCCTCTGATGCAAAATGAAAGTTAAACATAAAGGTGTTTTAGGTTGCCTCCTCCCTTGAGAGTTAGTTGAGATCAACAAAACTAAAACTGAAGCAAGTAACTTCTTTAAGTATTAATTTGCTGATACTTTGTATGTTGGAAAGTTGCTATCGCTTATTGAAATCCATATTAATTTTTATTTCAAGGGAAAATTCAAGTTTAGAAGAAATAGTTGAAAAGCAAGGAGATGTAATAGAATATCTTCAGCGACACAACGCACTTCTCAGCAAGAGACTATTGGCACTAACATCTCAACAAATTAAAACTTAACAGAATTTGGGAAACTGCTGCTGGAGTTCTGGAAGGAACATGAGGTAATGGAATATCCAGACAGATTTGTACAGATGACTGTTTCAATCATCTTTCACATTTTGAAACAGAAGTGGAAAGATGAGCTCTGCATATACACTATAGACCTGTTACAACTGGACGCTCTGGCTCTCCTCAAATCATCAGTGCTGAGAAAAAGGTCTAGAGCTTCATGGAATTTTTAATTCCTAACAGGTCAAAGTTGGACCTGAGGTAAGGGTTGAACTTTGTTCAGTTGTTGCTATTATTTTGTACTGCTGTAACCTTTAAGCTTCAAACTACCAAGTATTTTTATATTTCTAGAAAATGGATTTGTTATCTAGAAAAATCTCATGTTGCAAAGGATATCTTTTCAGTTTCTAGTGCTGAAGCTGAGACTAGATGTGTTCTGTCACTGGGTTCCATTACTTCTGGCGTTAGAGGTGGTGTTCTTCAATTATCCTATACAAGGTAGATACTTTCTTTCTAGATCAGTCTCCTTTTCCCTTTTTGTCAAGGAAGGAATGAAACTGTTGCCTGTGCCGGTGGGGAAATTTGGCATCCAATTTAGGATTTAAAAAAAAGTGGTGGGTGTCCTAGAATAGCAGATTTCACAAGTGTGTGGTACAAAATAATGCCATGATAAGCAATATGAGCAGTTGTTCAGAATTCTGACTTTAAAACCTCTATGAGGGATCTTCAGGGATGATGACTTTTCCATTACTAGGAGTCTGTGTCAGCTAATGATGAACAAGATTCCTGCCAACTGAACTAACCTGATACAAAAATACTTGAGTAAGATGTTTTGATGCTGTAACTAACTTGTGTGGAATGTATTTAAAGATCCTGTTAAAGGTGCATCAGGTACGTCTTTGTTCTTTATTTTGACTCTTCAAAAAGTCAACATCTTGATTTTAAAAGCTAAAGTAGTGTACGTGGGGAGGTGAAAAGCAGCAGAAGACAGGTCTTTTAGAAGTTGAAGAAACAAGAATTTTTGGTTCTGTTTCATGGACTTACTGGAAAGGCTGGTGAAAGAACAGTTCTGTTGTGGGTATTACTTTTGTCTACCAGTGTAGACCAAGAACTATTTTAGAAGCCAATTCCTTTGTGGGGACAGGGTAATTGCTAGTCAAAACTGAGAAGGCAGCTTTCATGAGGAGTGGTGTTGTACTTGAATATAAGAAAAAAAGAAGAAAATTAATCCATCCTACTTTAGTCCTGGGGCACAACTTTAGAAATAACCAAATGTTTAATTTGCAACAAACATGGGGATTGTCTCATTTAAAGGAATACAATAAATATTGGAGGGTTTGCTGCTATCCAACACTAGACTGTTCTCCTTAACTGTTTCTTGAAAATGCGGCCAAGATTTTATAGTATACCTGTAAGGAATACAAATGTGTTTTGGTTTTAGAATTCAAGTTTTGATGTGATTGTATATACCAATTTGTATGATTTCTATGAAAAGCAGTAAAATGTGACTGTGAAGCTCGTGCACAATAAATGCAACTAAGGAAGAGTGTGAATTCTGTCATTTCTAGGCCTCATGTACAGCTGGTGAAGACTGTTCCAGACTGTGCAGATCATGCTATGCTGAAGTTCTAGCAGCACAGTTCTGGTGCTTAAAACTAGCCAAAACCTGTTATGACAAGGATAGCTGATAACTTTTTCTGAAGCTTTAAGTTCAGGAGTTTTTCTTTTTCCTGGGTATTGTTTTGCCATCACACTTCAGGCTTTCCCTGCTATTCCTCTTTGCTCAGAGGAATTCCTCTTTTTCATAGAGGAACAGGCTTCATAGTGTAGCAGAACAACTTCACTATATTTTGAGGGCATTGCTCATACTCTCCTCCTCTCCTCCATGACTGTTTAAAGTGAAACTTGGATTAACCAGCAGTTCTGCTTTCTGTGGAACATGTCAGCTGAAAAGCAAAGTGCAGGCTGCAGTTATGTGAACATGCACATCTCTTGCCCTTTGTAGTTCATAGCTCTTAAGTACACAAATGATCAACTTGCAACAACCAACACCCATTTTTATATCTTATTACACTGCCACTGTATCTTGTTTTCTTAGTATCTTTAAGCTTAAAAAAGATAAAGGGGGGGGTTTCATATCTCTGGGGCACTCTCCTACTCACTCTGAACACTTTCTACCAGCTGGCCATGGTAGGGCTACAAAGAGTTGAGTAGGGGCTACCAGAATATGGCAAGGACAGCACACACTGGGAGGTGTGTGTCAGCCCTCAGGCCATTGCTGGCACCTTTGCACCAGATGGTGCAAGAACAGCCCCTGCTCCACTCTGGGGGCAGGTAACAACCAGTGGCTCCTGCCTGGGCACAAGGTTCATGGTCATGCTACTTGCTTGGTGTGACAAGGCAAAGCAGTGTGCTGTGGCATGCTGGGTATTGTAGACTTGCTCAGTGATGGACACCCACCTCCTCCTGCCTGTGTGGCCTGGCCTGCAGTTGAGATCAGTCTACAGTGGGTGCTGGTGGCAGAGCTGATAAAGGGAGACTCGGTGCACATGGTGGTGCTCAAAATGCAACATTAAAGGAACAGCTACTGTTCTGCAAGCAAGAGAAAGCTCAGCTGCAGCCTTGCTGCATCTGATGTTCCACAGCTCTGAAACTGGATGCAGAGTCCTAATTTTTCAGGTTATGTTGCATCTTGCTTACTGGAAACCTGTCTGCTGGTACAAGCTTAGGTGCTGAGTTTAGCAGCAGCTAGTGCTGTCTAACCAGCTCCAGAGCAACCCGTGGCCCATCATCAGTGTTGCAGCTGGGGTGACTGTCCCTGCAGCATCGGTACCTGATCACAGGTTAGATTTTACTGTCTGAAGTAAAATCCAGTGTGCTGCATGCTCAGAAAGCAGTAAAGCATTAGCTCCAAATTTTGGGTGTGGGAGGGAAGTATCACCTTGTGAACTGTGTGTGTTCTGCTGCAAATCAGTGCTTTGCTAACTACCAATGCAGCCTCTCAGGCATGGCACACCTGTGTGTATGAGATCATATGTGAAATTAAACAGCTGAAGAAATCAGTGATGCTCCTTATGTAACTATAGCTGCTGAAAAGCCATAAATATTTGCAGGTCTGTGGTCTTAACTTGCTTGCAATCCACTAGAGCATACCAGGGCAGCAAGAAGATAATGAAGAAGCAATGTTTCCCAATATATCTTGCAACTGTATGTTAAAATATAAAAATGTATTCCTTTGGGGGTTTTTTACTATTATTCAGTTTGTACCCTCCAATAGTTTTTAATTTCTGTAGAAAAACAATGTATATGTTTTTCAGGTTTGAAAAACCTGAAATTTGCCCCCCAAATGTTCACATTATGTTTTTTTTAATGATTTCTAGATGAAATGCTAAAATGAAATAAAAGAAAAAAATTGTTATGCTCTTTTGTGAATGCATATTGTATATAAGGGAGAAAAAAGTCAGTATTGGTGGGGTTTTTTTCTGAATAAGTCATAGTGGAAATTCTGTATAAACACTTTACTATTTCACCTCAAAATCATTGATTGTAAAAGACTTTAACAGGATTTTCATGCTTTAAGGTTCTGCAACAACATGCAGTTAAGCAGGCTTGCCTTCTTAATCTAAAAAGGGAAGTTGTATCAAGGATCAAAGATACTTGTCGGACAGCAGTTTAACCTTGAGGACTCCAGATGCATGAAAAAGCATCCTCAGCTGTTGGAATGAGTTGGGCTTTTAGGCATTATTGCTAACTAAAGATGTAGGTTGTGCTGCTGGAGTGTTTCCCACTTTGCACAAATATTCTGCAGCTGACCACCCCCAAGAAAGATAAAGGTCATCACAGTAGTGAGAGATCAGTATGCTAATTGTACTAGCTGATTGTAGTCAAACACTTGAAACTTATTTACCATACTAATGCTTCTCCTGAGTGATGTTGATATAAATCTTATGTAACCCTTAGCAAAATTTGGCTTTGTATGTACAGACACTGATATTTATAGCGTGCATATGTGGCGTAAGGGAAATATTTCCAGTCTTTATTCTTCTATAATTTCCTTTTTTTTCCATACTGGAAAAGGAAGAGGTGAATTGTTTATTATCCTTTGGGAACACACTAATCTGCTGTTTCTCACCACAGCCTTACCTTTGCTTCTCTTTCCTGTTGACCTGCTGTTACATCATTTTGTATTTCACTCTAAACCAGATAATGTAATTTAAAAAAGACTTAATGAAACTGACTTTCAAATAAATTTACACACACACACTTAAAAACTACCTATGAGACAGAGTAGTTCTAATTTTAAGAAACTCACATTTTGCCTTTTGGAGTTTGAGGTCTGAACCTACCAGAATCAAGTCTCGATTGTTTTGATTGCATTCATGCATCAGTTCTGATTTTTCAACATACAGCAATTTCTATTTGTACAAACTTCTTTTAAATGTACACTTGTCACGTGAAGAGTTCAGTCAGTTCAGCTGTTGTATCACTGTGTTCATATGCTCCATGCTTATATGAGTAATCACACTGTTATCATGCAAAATGGTTTTTACCAGATGAATTAAATGAAAATGGCTAGTTTGTCAACGAAGTCAAAAGCAAGTACAGCTCAGCTGAAAACAAGGTCCTTTTAACTTACGTGGGAGCAGGACTTCAATACCAGTGCTGTGGTGTGCTGTAGTGGCAACTTAGCACTTAAATTTATTTACAGTATCCAATAGCCAAATTGATGCATATTTTAGTGTCTGCTACCCTTCAGACTACTTCAGAGTTTGGTTTTTCTCCTGAAATTTGTAAGAACATCCAGATTTCAAGATTTAACACCTGAGATAATTCAAAATCTTGCTTATTCTAGGCATGAAGACAAAACGTAGTCTGGGTTCTGCTGTAATACTGTGGGCTCATGTTGCTGTGTTATAGCATGCTGTGATTACACCAACCAGTAGTTTTAAACCAAGTTCTTTCTAAATAGTTTTTACCAGAATTTCTTATTTTTAAAAAGATAAAAAAATGTCAGGAAAAAGCTTCCATGAAAACTGCTATTTATTGGTGTCAGAAATTGAGTGTGTAAACTGTTTACACACCGATTCCGTATGAATCTACAGGAAACTAGACAAATCCTAAATTTTTCTCTTGCTGCATTGACTTTGGCAGCCAAAGAATATAAATGTTG